TGTCAGCAAAGTTGCTGAGACCTCACCTGCCGTATGAGCGGACGGTTCACAGTTCCTCATTTTATTTTTGGCCACGCTGCGTGGCTTGCGGGACCTTAGCTCCCGGATCAGGGATCGAACCCACACCCCTTGCAGTGGAGGCGTGGAGCTTTAACCACTGGACCGCCAGGGAAGTCCCTTCAATTCCTCATTTTACTTTACCTCGAACCCCATTCAACACATCTGCTCACTCTCTCCTTCTTGAAATTCTTTCTTTATTGGCTTCGTGGACACTGACCCCGCCCTGGCCCCCCCAGCACACACACAAGCACCCTGCCTTCCCAGCCCGCCCCTCCCACAGCCTTCCCCACCTCAGTGATGCTCACTGCATCCTTTCACTGTTCAGCTGCAAACCCCAAGTTGTTCCTTATGTCGCTGGATTGCTTCACCTCACATCCAGCGCATCAGCCAATCCTGCTTGCGCTACCTTTAAAGCAGATCCAGAACCAACCGTTTGTCCCGGATCCCACTGCCTGGGCCCTCGCCCCCGCCCCTTGCACTGAGGTAGCACACCAGCCTCCTGGCTCTGCTGCAGCACAACACAGTCCTCCACACGTGCACCTGAGAGAGCCTCTGGAAATCCAAGTGGAAGGTTTCCGCTCTGCACAACACCCTGCGGGAGCTCCCTACTTACTCAGGATGGAAGTGAGAACCCCTTCAATGTCCAAAAGGCCCTCAGCCCTCAGACCTCATCTCCTTCTGCCTTCCGCCAGCTCCAGCCACTCGGGCCCCTGGTCACTCCCTGACTGTGCAGGCACATCCCCACCACAAGACTCTGCGTCTGCCACAAGGCTCCCTCCCAGGCCAACCTGCCCCAGTGGCCCTCGCCCACCTGCATCCCCACCCTTCCCTGGTTGAGGCTTTTCCTAAGGTGCCCATCACTATTTGACATCTGTCGTTGCTTTTCTCTCTCCCCTGCTCTGGATGGTAAGCTCCACGAGGGCAGAGCTCTCTTCCTGCTGTGTCTCTAGTCCTTCCAACAGCCCCTGGCCAAACAGGAACTTAGTGAAAAAAATTCAGCACTTGCTGAATAAGTAAATTTATGAAAGATTTTGACTTACATGGTTGAATCTGTGGGTGTTGCTAATGGTGATAGTCAGGGTTCTAATAAAGAGGAACACACAGTCAAAGACTGCTGTGGTGCACACCACGGGGACATCAGGAAGACATCAGGCGCAATGGAAACACACACACACAGCATTAACAGATGTTAGCAGCTACTAACCGGCTTACCTTTTTTATATGATGGAACATTCTCCTGCAACAACTTGCTAAGCTGTACTGTATTTAAATGTAAAAATCTCAGTTGTTCCCTCATTGGTTTTCCTTCTACAACTGGGAATATAAGACTGCCAATGTTGCTCTTTGGAATCGGCAGACCAAGCCCTATTGATAGTGTTGCAGCCAAATCAGTCTGTTGAATATACTTTGGACGTCTGATGTCACCTAGAAAAAAGAAAACAGCTTGAGTGACAGGCTCTAGGACACGTGTGATGGTGGTCACTCCTGAATTTGACCTTCTACAAGTAATGTAAGTCAAACCACCCATCTCTTCAAACTGTCCTGTGTAGATTCAGACGGAAATCACATTGTTGTTTTTCACGTCAGTAAAAACACCGAATCCTCATTTTTTGCGGAGCCTGGTGCCTCCCTAAAAAGCAGCACACAATACGCGGGAGAGGCACTAACACAGGAAACTCAACACCGCGTGCGTTTCACAGCATGGGGTGGATACCGAGGGACGTCCACTTTGGTGAGGTCAATGGTCACCCTGCTGAA